TTAAATTCCCATCGGGTGTTATCTTCAGAGAGCAGGTGAGAAACTTGCTGATGTTCTTGAGTGCTCTGGATAAACAGCCTTTTGAGAGCTGCATCCGCGCCAATGAAGTTGGTGCCGCAGTCTGAGTGTAAGGTATGAGCGATGCCGCGTCTGGATGAGAAGCGTCGATAGGCGGCAATGAATCCCTCCGTTGAGTAGTCACTGACCGCCTCGAGGTATACTGCTGAGGTTGAGAAGCAGACAAAAACGCAAATCCAGCCTTTCGTTGTTTTGGCACCTCTTCCTTTCCATGTTTTGACGGTGAGTGGCCCTGCGTAGTCCACACCTGTATGAGTGAACGGTCGTGCCTGCGTAACTCGAGAGAGAGGTAGTTGGCCCATCAATTGATGAGCACGGATCCCCCTCTGCCGAGCACACGTGACACACCGCAGGATGTGAGACTTGACAGGAGCCCTCCCGCCGAGAATCCAGTATTGTTGTCTGATGTGTGACAGCGTAAGCTGCGTGCCTCCATGTAGAGTCCGTTGATGAGCGTGAGCGATGATCAATGACGACAGCTGAGAGTGACGAGGCAGTATCACAGGATGTGTCGCGTCGAGTGAGAGAGCTGCGTGAGCGAGTCGTCCGCCGACGCGAATGACTCCTCGAGCGTCGATGTACGCAGTCAATCTGTTGAATGCGTGCGCCTTTGTCAACGGTGAGTCTGCCTGTAATGCCTTGAGCTCGTGCGAGAAGTACGTTGCTTGAGTTGCCTGAATCCAGACGTGCCTCGCTTTCTCCAAGGTCTCTGGAGAGATGTGTCTGACAGGCAATGAGTCGTGGACTTTCCTCAACCGTGAGACGAATCTGAAACAGAGAGCTGTAATCCTCAATAGTTTAGTGAGGCTTGAGTACCTGTAGATGAGTTCCCATTGATATTCAGTCCTTGGCGTAACCGTCAGTAGCGAAACGCCTGGGCGAGCTTCTGTTGCACTCATCTCGTCAGAGAGTGCAGGTTGCGACGGCCATGAGTCTGGTTTGAGTATCCATGGTGGTCCCGTCCACCAAAGTGCGTGGTTTTGAAGCTGAGCAGTCGTAAGGCCTCGTGATGCGCAGTCAGCCGGATTAGAAGTTCCAGGAATGTATCTCCAGTGAGCGGCTGGAGTGATTTCTTGAATTTGAGCCACCCTGTTCCTGACAGAATCCTTCCAGCGTGATGCATGAGATCTGATCCACGAAAGTGTCACTAGAGAGTCCGTCCACAAATGGGTTGCCGTTACGTCCATGTTCAAAGTGGCTTCGACGTATTGCATGAGTCGAGAGAGCAGTAGAGCAGCTGTGAGTTCAAGTCGCGGGATTGAGAGCCGCTTGAGGGGTGCTACCTTAGTCTTGGAGCACACAAGTGAGAACGTGGCGCCGTTTGAGCCGTGAACGGAAATGTATATGACTGCAGCCATTGCCAATTGAGAAGCATCAGAGAATCCATGAAGTTCCACTTGCGAGTCGCTCCACGTATTGAGCCACCGAGGTATTGAGAGCCTGGCCAGGCTTGTGAGTTCTTCTCTGATGATGAGCCACCGGGTTGAGAGCTGGGATGGCAGTGGAGCTCATCCCATTGGAGCTTGTGCAGCCACAGCTCCTGCAAGAGAATTTTGGCCTTGATCACGACGGGTGATGCAAAGCCAAGTGGATCGAATATCTGAGCCACTTCAGATAATACGAGGCGCTTTGTGAGCCTGCCTTCCTTGCGTGAGCTTCTCGTTGAGAATGCAAATGTGTCTTCTTGAGGGAGCCATTTGAGTCCGAGTATCTTGGTTGCGCAATCGTCGAATGTGATTGGTAAGCCTTGGTCTTCGTTGTCGGTGACAGTCTTGAGTATGTCGAGATGAGTAGCATGCCATTTTGCCAGTGGGAAGCCGCCCGCCATGCAGAGGCCCTTGAGTTGATGTGCGACCTCCTGCAATTGTTGAATCGTATCTGCACCACCAAATATGTCATCGACATACCTGCCATGAGTGATGGATGGCACGGCCAGTGGATAGTTATGCCCTTCGTCCTCTGCTAATTGTAATAGCGTCCGTACGGCCAAGAACGGCGCGGCCTTTGTCCCGTAGGTGACGGTTGTCAGATGATATGGCACTTCATTGAGTTGATCATCCATCCAGAGTATCCGTTGTAACTCCCAGTCATCCTTGTGAATTTTGATCTGCCTGTACATCTTGGTGATATCCGTAGCGAAGATGTGACGGTGTCTTCGTATCCAGAGGAGAACATCTGAGATATTCAGATGCAATTTCGCTCCAGTATACATGAGGTCGTTAGCAGAGTAGCCCGATGTTGATGCGCTGGAGCCATTAAATACGACTCGCAGCTTCGTTGTTGTACTGTCAGGCTTGAGAACACCGTGATGTGGTAGGTAGAAGTGTGAGCGGCGACTGGAGATGGATGATGCCTTCGTCATGTGGTTGAGCGCCTCGTAATCCATCATGAATTGTTGATAGAGCCGTTGATAGTTCACATCCCTTGAGAATCGTCTGCGTAATCCCTTCAGACATTGATGAGCGACGTTGTAAGAATCACCCAAAAGATCGTCTGGTGAATTGAGTAGAATCCGGTCGATGTACCTCTCTGGAGAATCACGAAAGTGTGTAGTATTGAAGTGCTTCTCGCACCTCTGCTCGTTAGGAGTGAGCTGAGTGACAACGTGAGTAGGCACCTCCTCTTGAACCCAGAATTTTGTCAATAACTCAATAAGAGCATCCTCGTTGAATTGAGTAGCAGCATGATGCGTTGATGTGCGTGTTGCTTCCCTATTGACTGGTCCAAGAACGAGCCATCCGAAAATGGAGAGTTGCGCTATCGGCATGAGTGGAGAATGCCGAATGATATTAGGCTTGATGATTTGTCCGTAAGCGTCTGCGCCGATGAGGATGTCAACTGGCCGCGGGATGAGAAAATCAGGATCGGCTAATGCCAAGTCCTTGAGGTGCGGCCATTCTTCCGGTTCCGCCTCGAACGATGGTAAGATTGATGTAACTGTCCGGAGGACATGAGCTTGAATTGTGGCAGCTGCGTTGGAATGCATCGAGCGTAACGTGAGTGACACGACTCCTCGTGTCCGAGTACACTCCTTGCCTGCAATTCCAGTGATGAGAAGACCGGAGTGTTGACGAGGGATGTTGAGCTGCCGCATGAGATTCTCCGAGACGAAGGTGAGCTCGGATCCTGTGTCAATGAGCAGGCGCGCTGAGTGATGCGTTGACGATGAGTTGACTAATGCCAAGGCTGTGGCGAGTAGAGTCGAGCAGGATGAGCGGACGGGTGTGCTGGCCTCGACGACTGCACCTACTCCTCAATTAGCGGGAGTGGCCGATGACTCACCGGACTTCTGAGCTGCCGATGAGGATGTCTGTGTACCGTGCAGCATTGTGTGGTGCCGGCCCGAGCAGGTCTTACATCCTCGTTGAGACTTACATGCGCGCACACCATGACGCCCCAGGCAATTGAAGCACAACCGCTTCTGTATCGCCACCGTGTGCCGCTCGGATGGTGGTAGCGCCCGGAATTTGCTACACATCACTATAAAATGCTGCGCGCCGCAGCAGTCGCACGGGTATGATGTGTCGACCTGATGAGCAGACTGATGAGTAGCCTGGTGAGCTGTCGTCTTCTTCGGTGGTGAGGATGCTCCGCGGGGACCAGAAGGAGCTGTCGATGATTCTATTCGCTCGAGAGCCCGTATTTTCGTCGTTAGAAACTTCTTGAGCTTCTCGAACGTGGGGTAGTCACGCGTCGCGCCAATAGAGCTCTCCCACTGCTCGTGTGTCACGCGATCCAGGAGTCGCGTGACATGATAGACTACCGCGCAATCCCCGAGCTTGTCCGTAACCTCGAGGGCCTCCAGTCCCTTGAGCGCCTCCGTAACTCCCGAAACCAGCCGATCCAAGGACGCCGCCTTCCTTGGCACCGGGGTTGAGCTGACGAATAATTTGTCAAGGCAGGCTTGTATGAGCAGGCGTTTGTTCTCATACCGTTCCTTGAGTAACTCCCAGGACGGCATGAGCGAGTCTCCAGACATGAGAAAACCTGCGATCAGCTGAGCTGGCGCGCCTTCCACCGACGAACGGAGGTAGTGAAGTCGCTCGACGTTCGTGAGCTGCTCGTTGTTCATGATCAGATTGGCGAAGAGATCTCTGAACGCAGGCCACGCGGCATACTCCCCAGTAAACTTGGGGAGTGAGATGTCCGGCAAGCGCGAGTGCGTCTGTCTGGTCTCGCCGGACGATGAGCTGGTCTGCGGTTGAGCGGACTGAGCTGTCAGTGCGTGGCGGAGCACGCCTATGATCCGTCGCGCCTGCAGGTAGCACCGCGACTCGTCGAGGTGAGCATTCCCTGAGAAATACTCCTCGTTGATGAACGCCGCCGGCCAGGAGACCTCAAGGTAGGCGTGTTCCTTGATAAAGGCCTTGTGCGTTTCCTCGACCTGCTGCTGAAACTGAGAGACCTCCTCAAGCGAGGTCTCCGCTGGGACAACCGGCAGGGAATCAATAAGCTCCTTGAGTAGCGTAATCCGGCCCATCTGAGTCCGAGCCTTCAACGCGAGCTCCGGTGCTAGCCGGGCAGGAGACGCCGTCCTCCCCGACGTGCGGTCTCCCTGTGGCACCTCCAACACCGGGGTTTTCGGGCGGTCCGTCTTCGCCTCGTCCGCCATCGTGAGAGCGAGAAGGATGAGACGTCTCGTCGGCCGAAGAGAATTTGGATTCTCCGGAGGAGCGTTGAGCCGTCACCGATGAGCTGTCACGCGAGAAAATCGTGAGATCACGTGATCAATGCGAGGGACCGAATACGTGCGCGTCGCCGATCACGCGGAAGGGCCGTGAGAGTACTTGGTCGCTGCGTCGGACCGTATCTGTGCGCGCCGACGATCACGTGATAGTTGCGTGTTGAGCTAATCCGTCCGAGAGCCTCGCCGAATCCGGCTCGAAGGACCAAAAAATGTTCGCGACTCTCGTTGGGAGAGCTCGCTGGACCGCTGCGGTTGGAAGCAGGGCTGAGAGGACTTAGCAGTGAGAGGCTCGAGGAACGGATGCACGCGTGAGAGGTTAGAAATCACGTGATCGTAACTCGAATCGCTTGTGTAAAATACCGTG